GAGGATGAAGGAGATGACTGTTCTGACCAGCTGTCATCAACCCCTCTGCTCAATAACACCCACTCATCACACTTACTGAAAATATTTGCTTTAATCAAGGGTAGAAAAAGACTGTCTCTTGTCATTGTTGTATGTAAATCTGTGAATGGATCCCACTGAGATTGATGACTGCCTTTTCATTTTGTCGTGATTAATTAAGTGAGAGAGCATAGTTGAGTTTACAGGTTTTGGGCTTTTCATATAGTGGCTGAATCTGTAATTTTGTGTCCTGCAGGAGTGAGTGATGAAGAGGACCAGAAGCCGGTGCGTCTGCCCTTGAAGGTGGCAGTGGAGCTCCAACCACGCAGTAACCACTCCTGGGCCCGAGTTCAGAGTCTTGCCCACAACCCTCGCCTCAGGTCTGACATGGATAAGAACCACAATATATTTTCAAAAGCATAACATCCAAGAGTCAGAGAGATGTCATACCTTCATTATTTAATTCATTTTCTATTATTATTTTATTTATTTATTTTATTAGTTCAAGCCATGGCGATGCAACAAAGCCTGAGCTAATTTAAGAACTTCTTCTTGGCTTCAGACTGCTTATTTCAGTTTGATGGTTTGCATGTTTTCCACCGTTTTCTGGGTCAGCTCTTGAGAAATGAAAGTAATGAAATGTCTGGTTTTTTTGTTTTTTGTTTTTTGTGCAAATTAAATATGTGTATATATTTTTTTTTAAGTTAACTCGTGAAATTTGAAAAGTGTAAACTCCCTCAGACATGATGCAGTTTAAAGTTTAAACTCTATTTCTTTCATTTTTAATTTTTGTTCTCAGTTCAGTTTTCAGTTAGTGTTCAGACTGGGTTTGCTTCTTTTGAGGTTCACAGTTTCGTTTTTCGTTGGTTTCAGTGTTAGGGTTTTTTTTTTTTAGTTATTATGATAATAAGGGGTTATTTATCATTGGTAGGTTGAAGAAGAGTAAAGACTTTGCTGTAATTCAGCCCTTTTCACAATGTCAGTATGCATTTGTTTGCAAACGTGACAAAACAAATATAGTAAAACTATACATTAATGAAAATTTCTGTTTTATTTTAGTTATTTTTGGAGCACGTAGTTGGCGTTTTGATTTTTCCCACACAGGATTATTTTGGTTTTAGAAAACTCTATTAAATTTGATCCACAGTAGTCTAAGTGTAAAATGTAGAAGTAGTTTAGGTCAGACGTATTAGACCTGGTAGTGTTGTATTTTGCAAAGTTGACATCAAGTGTTTTTTTCTGTTTTCTCAGGATGGTGGTGGAGCTCCACAGGAAAGTCTCCAGCCTCATAGAGTATCTGAAACAGAAGTGGGCTTATCATGACCAGCGGATTGTATCCTTTA